GAGATGGAGAGCTTAAAGAGCTGACTGAAACCCCTTTGTTTACGGGAAAGAAACAAGTGGATTTAAGGATGACATGGTAAGCAAAGGACAGAAAAAAGATGCTTCATTTCATCTGTTCTCTGAGGGGAGACACTGGCAAGATCTYGTGAAGAGTAAGGAACAGAAATTGCGAAACGGTTGTGAGAATTATTCAAATGTGGTGAAAATGCAGCTGGCAGTGCACGTCATGGACTCCATTGACCTGTAATTCCTGAGGTTTCCTAAGTGAGGAGGGTGGCAGAGCAGAAGGAGGGAATTTTGTTATGGAGGAAGTCAGCTGGGTTGTGGGGCTTCYTCTAGAAATGCTCTACAATACAGGCATAGGAACAGAGGAAGCAGATTTTGGGATTGAGCCAGGCCTGAGGCTGGCAGAGTGACGCCTGCAATGGGAGCAAGGGAAAGAAAGGTGGAGTGGCATTAAGATAATCAGCAACCGCATTCTCAGGGGCAGGGAGGCRATGAAGTCATAAACTGTTAGTCTGAAACTCAAGGGAAGATGGAGGGATAAAGGGAGAGAGAAGGAGCCAGTGGGCCAGTGATGGCTGGCAATAACGCACTTGGCAACAGAGATGTAGTAACTCCTATCTTGATTCCATCAGCTGATCTGATCTTGTGAGTAAACTGTTTGATGTRTAAGAAACTTGTGTACATGTTGAAAGATGATGATGTCGATGAAAAAAATCAGATGGGTCTTCACATAGACATTACAGTGGCCAAAGAGGGGTGGGTGTCTGCAGAGCAAGTAAGATTAAAAGAAACTGAAATCCAAGAGACTGGCTAATGACCAGACACGCTGGATAGACAGCCTGAGGAAGCAAGAGAGTGGCAAAAAAATAATGTGGTGCTGTTCAAAGATTAAGAACAGAAACGTGGGAATTGGATGTGGAAGGGCCCAGAAAATCTCCAACTTGCTCTTTTAACTACAACATGATACAGAGAAACACCTTAGCCACAGGATCTCCAGATGAAACAGGGCAGGAGGGGACAGTACACTTCTCTTGCTCCACATCATTTTCCTGTATTAGTGGAAGACTAATAGAGAGCAAACAACTTTTCTGTTTTCCCTTTCATCTTATGCTCCTCTGCCCATTTTTATCACAGTTTTATGAAGTGTAACATGTCTGAGGTGTACCTGAGAGCTTTATTTATGCATGATTTGGGACTTTCTAGGGATCCTTGGACCCTGGTGCTTCTGCTGAAGATACACAGTTAATTAAGAAGCTGCACTCCCACAAAATAAAGGATAGAAAAGTGAAGTACTTGTTGACCAAGCTCTGAATTAGTGAAGTGTCTGCATTAGCTGCTGCCTCTGACATATAACAGGAAGGTACTGGAGCTGCAGCAGTGGTCACCAGTGCCACAGAGCTTTGGCTATGTTAGATGGCACTACTGGCARTGTTGTGAGCACATCAGTGACATTTATATTTGTTACTTCAGATTCATGAGATCAGGCTTTGCACTATCAGCAAAGAAAAAACCCAGGTTTTCTATAAATGTTTATTCTGTATTCTGTATTTTAAATAATTGTGTCTCAGTTAAAATGCAATAAATATATTAGATATGTAAACCTYTGTGCATTACAGGAATATTTCAACAAGTTATGCCATTTATCTGAGGCTTGTGCAATGKATATTGCACCTACAGCTGAAGGCATTGTCAGACCAAACCTCCTGTATTACTCAGACACCACTGAACATGAGTCAGGGCACTGTCTGTCAATCCCAGTACTGATCCCARTACTTATCAACCCCACTCTTTTTTATTCTATATGTGCACAACAAAACAAAACAAAAAAAAAACAAAACAAAAAGACAAAAAAAAAACCAAACCCCAAACCCATGAAACCCCATGTCTTACCTCACATCACACAATTCATAATATATGTTTCTGCTCTCATCCTTGATGTAAATGGCGACACTGGGCGATTCCAGCATTTTCATTGTCAGCTGCTGGGGRAAGGCACTTACAAAAAGGGCACGAATTGTGTCTGTGCTTGTGATTTCATTCGGCATCCTCAACTGCTTTGTTTCATCTCCATACTGAAGATATAATACACCTACAAGCAAAGGGAATAGGAAGTTACATATTCTTGAGTACACAGTAATGATCTGCCTTCAGTCTATGTGGAACACAGAAATAAGACCATAATGAGAAGAGAAAAAAACAACTCACACTCTTTAAAAAATAAAGCACATATGGAATTTTCCTTGCTTAACTGGCTATTGGAATACAGCATAGAACAATGATATGGTTCTGCCTTGACAACTGTGCTTGCCCCAGTGTGAAGCCTCTTACTGTACTTCAGTAGGATAAATCAGAAGTCTGCCTTAGGAATCCTAATGGAAAATCTCAAACATACAAAGTTTGCTCTGTATTGGAAGATGCTGGTAAATCACAAAGTACTTCTTTAAAAAGTAGCTGAGGAAGAAATTTATCCTTTTATAGCACCCAGCCTTCTTTATACATAAATTTTGCATTTTAAGTTCATGCTTATCAATAAAACCAAGATTTTCATTTTAGCATGAGGTWTTTTATTTTCACAGTTCAATTTGCTGACATTATATAGTACAAAGCCTCAGGTGAAACTTCTGTCAGGAGTAAAACCGAGGTCCCACACAAAAACAAAAGCAATTTTGGATTCTTTCAGTATCTCAATACAGTTAATAATCATGCTTAGCACTCAGGTAGAAATATGTGGAATCTTAGATGCCCAACTGYGAAATATGGATATTCTTACTGACCCAAGACAGAACACCTTTCTGATACAGTTATTTTCAGGGAATGGGAGGTTGTGATATGCTCAATAGTGGAAGGAAAAATTAATAGTACAGGCCAGGGACTGAGTGAAGGGATATAAAGTACCTCTTCAGTGATGCCTGTGTGGGTCTTGCCAGGCCTTTGCTGACCCCTGTAAAACCAGTGGGCACCTGTTCCCCACTGGCCAGTGCTGCATGAGTGTGGCTCATGAGCATTGCTACAGCCCAGTCCCATGCCACTGTGACCTCCAAAGCCTCCAAGGACTGAAGCACTGAGAAAGAGCCATCTCAATCAACCAAAGAAATCARTCTGGACTTGATGGTGTTGATGAGTTCTAACCATGCTGGGCCTGGCTCCTAAAGAAAACCAAAAGGTCTGCTCAAAGGCAGTGTGGGAAGGTTTATTAGCACCTGCACAGCAGCAAACAAGCTGACAGTGGACTGCAACTAAACTAAGCAATTTCCAGGGGTGTACAGCACCAGGGAGTAGATTCAGAAGCAAGTGTTCGGCTGAACTTCTTTGGATTCAAGGAGATGCGAGCAAGTAAGCCCAGTTGAGTGCACTGTGCTCTTTCTCAGCCATCTCAGCCATCTCAGGTGTCTCTGTATGACACTGCATTGTGCCAAGAGGAAACACCTTTCCTCTCTTGCTGTCTGTACCAGATGGAGCAAGTAMAGCTTCTGCAGTGGTGTGAAAAGAYAGCAGATCACAGAATCAYGGAATGGTTGAGGTTGAAAGGTGCCTCTGGGGGTCATCTGGTCTACCCCCACCTCACTCAGAGACAGCTCCAGCCACTTGCACAGAACCATGTCCAGACAGTTTCTGTGAATATTCTACAACAGAGACTCTGCAGCCTTTGTGGGAAACTTGTGTCAGTGCTTGGTCAATCTCACAGTGAAGACGATGTTAGGAGGGAATGTCCTATGTTTCATTTGGTGACTATTGGTCTTCTCCCTGGGCATGAACGGAAAGAGCCTGGCTCCATCTTCTTTGCCCCCTCCCTCCAGGTTCTTTTGTACTTTAATGACATCGCTGCCCTTGAACTTTAGTCCTCCAGGCCAAACAGTCCCACCTCTCTCAACCTGCCAGAGCAAAGAGGCTCCAACCAAATTAATAATCCTTGTRACCCTCTACTGATTCTCTCCAGTCTTGGAAACATTCTGTGCTGCCATGTCTTTGCATCCACCAATAATTAACACAGGTGGGCTAAAGCCTGGCAGAGCATTTTACACAACCTGAACTCATCACAGCAACTGCAGCGTAGATGCACTGTAATGTTGTGTTCCCATGACCAGTACCAACAGGCGGGTTGGGAACACAATGCCCTCAGTGCAGTTACCATCAGTCATGAGAAAATCTCAGCAAATCACAAAATGTGGATGGTTAAGGCAGATAATGATTCACTCTTGAAAGCCATCAGCATCAGGATGGGCAGTTTACAGTGCTGAGAGACAATCACYGAGCAAAAGCAATGGGAAAAGCTGAGGTCCTAGAATACAAAGGCAATTAATGAAAAGAAGACATTTCAAGCTCAGATGAGCCCTCTCTCCCCTCAGCCTTGTGTATTTTTGTCCCTATGTTGTCCATAATTGTAACAGAACATTCAGATGTTCCTACAGTCAGTGGGTGGATAATTGTGCTTGCAGTTAGGGAAGGAAGATGTTAACATTCCTGAATACTAAACAGACTACTTTACATTACCTAACTATTATTTAATATTAGGCTGCTTTTATAAAACAGAGCTGTTAACTTAATCTTCATATTATTCTCAAGAGCTGATACTTTTTCTTTTCATTAACATTGCAATCAGGCCCCGTATGAATCCTACTACAAATTTCCATTTGCCTTAGTCTGGAAAAACTTCTTCAGACTGAACTATAACTACCTTTCTCTCAAAGACTGAGAGGAGTTTTCCTATGACTTTTATTTCTAATGGCAATATTTAATGAGATATCAAACTATTTTTCTCTTTTTTATTATAATTTGAGACGTCATTTATTTCYTTATGTTCTTCTAGGTAAAATTGTCCTTTTAGTCCTCTTTCAAATATTCTGCTGCATATTTTCAAATATGCAGCTAAACACTCTTTAGGATTCAGAAYTTAGCTATATTTGTAAAAAGGTTCAGCAAGTTAATGATTGCATTTATTTCACTCTTCCAAAATATGCAAAAGCATAATCAGTTTTTGATTATAGCTTTCTGTTCTTATGAAGAACATAARGAACCTTCTCTGTTTTGGCATTTAAACTTTCTTGGATTTAGTGGCAAAATAAAAAGATCTTTTGGCTAAAAAGACTTTGCATATCAGCTTTGCAGTTGGGTGTGGCTCTCTYTTCTGCCCAGTTTAAAAGTTAGTGAAAAGTGTAGAAATGCTAGTTTTGCATTTCAGACCACTAAAACCACTGAATGTTGAGTTACTGAAACCATTAACACAAAATAAGTGGTAGAGTTGAAAAACCTTCCTTACACACAAGTCTAAGTAATTTCAGTSTTGATTCTGCCTGCGCTTCAATGCTCCCACAAAATATTGATCCAAAGCAAAATTACAGTTTTCCTAGAGTCATGAATTTTCAAAGCTAATATATATGCTATGCCTTAAAACAGACAGTTTAAACATACAACTTGGAGAAATGTTTTGGCCCCAATCTCACTGTAGAGAGAAAAGCTATTTTCAAAGGCATAATAAATTCTTTTTCATTTATTCTCCTTTAAATCACACACCCTAAAAAAAACCAAACTACTGCCTTTTCTCTTGAGTTGTCTGATCCATATCATGATATGGCAATGCTTCAGGGCATTTCCTATTTGACAGAACTAACTGCTCACTTAAAAAAAATCCCTTTTGAGCATGACAAAATAGACAGACTCAAAATCCATTAGTTAAAATTATTCACATTATTTTTCATCCACACATTGCCCAGGTGAAATTCCGAACACTGGCAATATCCACAGGTTCCACTCCATGGAAGCTCCTGGAGCTCGTAGGTGTGTTTTACCTTCAGCTAGAAAACCACTCCCATGGAGATTAAAGCCAGAAGAAATAGAATACAACTCAGGCATGGCTTTTCTGAGGGCACAGCACACATGTCAGCAAAGCTGCTGGAAAGATGGTTAAACACAAGGGATGTTCCTGTCTCCATGTACACTCAAGTTCTTCTTGGACTTATGCTTCTGTTACAAGGAATCTTACCTGAAAAAAAGAAGATTGTGCCCAGCTTTATAAAACACAAACCAATGAGGACTATGGAATTTTCTGCTACTCTAAAAAACTGTGCAGTAAGATGACTGTGAATGAGGGAATGGCACCATGCAATAGTTTTGAAAGTGCATGTCAGACAATGATGTGGCTCCCACTTCCAGGAGTTCCGAGGTACTGCCAGCCCTGCTCTGTCTTTCAGCTACAATACAAACTAGAATGTTAAGYCATCCTCTCAGTCACATCAGTGCAACCTAGTTGCAGAAATACCTCTGGAAMCTCCGATAGTTCTTCACCCTACAAGCAACAGACCACAGACTTAATAGYAGGCCACAGCATAAAAGATTTACGTATAGGCCTTGGTAACATAAGCCTCGTAACAAATTGCTTCACAACATTCCTGTCAACAAAGAGCTATGCTTTATAGAAGGGGAAATTAAACACCCAAGAGGCGAAAGWACATGTTCAAAGAAAGGTTTACAATCATCAAACCCAGATCTGATGAYGATCCTGTGAACACACCACATGACTGCCCTTTCCTTTCCTACATACAGAGCTCTTTCAAAACATGGTATTTTCTGCTGCCTCTTTACCACGGGTCAGTGGCAGGATGTGCAAAATATTTCATCATTTCTCTCAGGGATAACCCCATGAAACACAACACGGTGCAATGATCGCGCTGCAACATGGTGCAGTCCTAACCCTGGCTAAGCACCGCGTTATCACAGTTATATTGCTAACAACCATCTTGGGGCAGGGCAGCTCACATACTTAGAATAGCTTTAATCTCAACTTGCTTTTGTTTACAGGACAAAAACTATCTTTAGAAATTCATTATTTAAGAGAGGAAAGTTAAATACCTGATAAATCAAGAATAAATAAATAAGATTGTGTCCTCTTCTGTGACCTTTACAAATTAAAATTAATTCTCTTAAATGATGGACATTAAATGGGAAAATACAATTCTTCACATAACTCTCCCATAATGAAGAAGAGAAAACTGATGCAGAGGAGWTAAGTAACTCCTCAGTTTATAAAACAGAATACAGTTAAAACCTACATTTGAGTTCATGAGCTTATCTTCYGTGAAGCTACAGGACAYC